ACTTCGACACGCCAGCTTAAACTGCTTGGAGAAAGGCCAGAATTAGGAATTTATCACTAAAGTAGATAGGCGAGAGTAAGTGCATACATTAGGGAATTTGCCAAAACCAATTGAGAAAATGTTTGTTGTCCTTTACCTATTACACTCTCGCTAAGGGCATGCACTGCCCAGGATTTCTGAACACAGGAAATCCAATACAGCCCCAGACTGAACAGCCTGTAACCCACAGCTCTGTCCTGGAGTTAAATAACTGAGCGGGGGACCTGCAGATCAAGCAGCTTCATCATTTATCTGAAGTAACCCAGGAACGGGGCACGGCTTCCCTGGCAGGGGCCGGAGCAGAAGGAGCGATGTGGCGCAGTGTGCGGTGCTGCAAGGAGCTGGGGGGGCTCTGGGCACCTCTGCGCCCCCCTCCCCAGCACAGGGGTTATGCCCACGCTGTGCCCGGCCCCGTCCTCACCCACACGGCTGCTCACAGGGCTGGCAGGGCTCGGCCATCCCCCTCCCTCCCCGGTGCAGCTTCCTGCGCTCCAGCCGGCGAAGGGCCCCCGTCTGCTTATCTGCGGGCACCCAGCGGCCTCCTGAGCGCCCGCAGCCCGCAGCGCCCTGCCTCTGGGCTGGCCCCAGTGCTGGTGGTGATGCTGAGAGACCTCCGGGCACTGCCTCCCCCATCCTGCTCCTCAGCACTGCCCGTTGGCCTCCACTTCTTCTTTCGGCCTCCAGCTGGTTTCTTCATCCCCCACTTTTTTCCAGTATCCTGCTCTTTTTCAACCTCCCAGTCTTTTCTGGCCTGGCTTTTTTTTTTTTTCGTCCTTCCTTTTCTCAGTCTTCCCTTCTTTTGGCCTCCCCCTCTCACCCAGCCTCCTCCTCCCCTTCGTTACCCATCACCTTTCTGGCCTCCCTCTCCCCTTCCCCTGCTCCCCACTGCCTTTCTGCCTTCTCCCTCTCTTCTCTGGCCTCCCACACTTTATTGGCCTTTTTTTCAGAGAAGAAGCATGAAGCATGTTGAGCTGTAAATGAAAACCACTCCTTCCTGCCTTTATTATTATTATTGTTTTTATTTTCTGGAGCCTTCCTTTCTCTCCCTGTCTCTTTCCCTGGCTAGCACTGAGCACCCCGGTTTGGCTGCAGGTCCGTCCATGCCCCGTGGGCTGCAGCAGCCCCCATGCACGCTCCCCTTGCTGTCCGTGGCCGGCTTTCTGCCCCTCTTCCACGCCCAACAGCCCCTGCCACCGGGCACCGGGCACCGGCAGGCTCCAGGAAATGGCTCTCAGCTGCCAAATGCCTTGGCAGTCAGAAACAAACAAACAAAAAAAGTATTTGCAGAGTGGGTGTAAGAAGTGCCGCTTTGTTTATCATGGGGAGAAACTGGGGCACAGGCCCTCCGTGCCAAGCCGCTGCTCGTTTCCCCGAGGGTTGGCACTGCCGGCGTGCAGCGGGGAAGCCACGGGGCAGAGCAGCCTCCTGCCGACCTGCCGGCCCTTCCTTCCAAAATCAGGTGCCAGGCACCTCCCGCGGGGCTGCCGAGGGTCTGTGCCGGGTGCTGGCTGCCGAGCACCTTTGGCACACCCAGACTGCCTGCGGGTGCTGCCCACGTGCTGCCTCGCAGCTGCCCAGGGCACTGCAGCCTGTACAGGCTCGTGTGCACTTGTGCTCGGAGCCACCTCGGCGCTGAACTTTAACGCCCAGCACGCTCAGACTGAGCCGGGCTGGTTTCCTTTGGAGGGGCCTCGGGTAGGTGAAAGGACGGGCTGTTGGCAAACAGGGCCAGGTGGGTGAGGGAGCCTTCTGCGTGCCGACACACAGCAATAAACGCTTAATGGCAATAACGAAGTGGCCGCCGTGAGTCCTCTGGTTGGTTACTGTAAGTGCTGGAGCAGCTCGGGCAAGCACAGCACCCATGCACCCGCTCACCTCCCTCGCTGTCACCCCGCCTGCCACCGTGTGCCAGGGGTCAGGGCCACTGTGCGGGGCCAGCAGTGCAGCTCGGCCAGCGAGGGGCCTGGTGTGCAAGGGTCCTGGTGTGTGAGGGACCCAGCGTGTGAGTGCCTCGTTGTGCCTGCACCCGCTGGCAAAGCCAGGGCTCGGCTTTGTCCCGGTCCCTACCCAGGCAGCAAGCGGCCCCCCTCGCATGCAGCAGTCGAACAAAACCCTTGCTGCTGGCGAGCCCGGTGACTCACCGGTTGGTATATTGGGCAATCTCCTATTTCCCAATCTGTTTTCCTTCTCGAGAATTCAGGCTTTGCTCTGCTTTCAGGGCAGCCAAACCTAACCCAGCTGCCAGTCCGCACACGCGCACATCTCCCTGCCCTACAGATGCGGGCACCACTTGGTCACCTGGCAGCCGACGGCTTGCCCCTGACAGACCGGCAGGAGCCCCACTCCCCACGGCCCTTCGGCAGCTGGGGCGGCCTCGTGGCCCTCACCAGCCCCAGGGCTCAGGGCGAGCTCAGTGGGGGCAGCCGGGCGCTGCTGTGGGGCCAGCGCTGCCTCTTCCCCCAGGCAGGCCGGGGCAGGCCAGGGGCTGGTGCCGTGCCTGGAGATGCCCCAACACGCGGGCCATGTCCCATGGGCAGCAGTGAACGTCAGCAAACGACAGATCCTCACCCTGCTTTTCACATGCCTCTTATGCATAATTTCATATTCAGCGCTAGGATGCAGGCCTGGCCAGTTCCTGATTTATTTTCTGGCACTTTGCGTTCCGCCCTGTTTCAGCAGCTTCCTGAGCTGCCCCTCTGGGTGCCCTGCTCCTGGCACCAGCTCCCACCCCCAGCACTGCCCATGCCCCCTGCCCACAGACCCCGCTCCCTGCCCACCTGACACATCCCCCACCCACCCTCTCTTTTCTCCTCTTTTTTTCCAGCCCCTGACAATGATGTGCGGTGCTGCAGTTTGAAGGTATCCACCGAGGATGGCTGGTCGTGCTTTCTTGTTTTTCATTTGTATGTTCATCCCCCGTAGCTTAGATACTAATAATGGCACAAATCGAGGTGATACTTAAGCCTCTTGCTTTTCAAGTGGCATCAATTCAGGCCACTAAAGGGCAGGAATCAGTGAAGAATTTGGCACCTTGTTTCAAGCATGCTGTGACAGTCCTCCCAGCAAAACAGAATATTTATTAATTGTCAGTCCCTGATGCCTTACCCTTCTGAGATGAGTACTCATTCTGGAAAGAAATCTGTTAAACAAGGCACATGATTTTCTAGCAGCACCACTTGCAGTTCGGTTTTGAATGGGAACAGGAAGAAATGTGTCAACAATTTCGTGTCTCTTCATGTCTGAAAAGCAGCGTACCTTGCCAAATTGGTAATGTATTTCTGCGAGGCGCAGCGCCTGCCAAGCACGTCTCCGCGCAGCACGCAGGAACATCTCGCGCCCTGTGCTCAGCACACCCCACACCCGCTGCCCTCACCCATGGGACTGCAGGACCCCGAGAGCCCCCGGAGCCACTGCTGGGACCCTCTGTGCCGTGTGTCCCCTGCGCCCTGTCCCCCCTGCACCACAGTCAGCGTGGTGCTGCGGGTGCCTGTCTGCGGGGCTGAGCCACGCTCCTGCTCCCAGCGCCGAGGCGGGGCGCAGCCGTCTCCCCGCTGGGCACGGGGCATCTGCGCAGCCTCCACGCGTGGCAGCGTCTCACTTTGTGATGAATCGCATTGTTTCTGCGAGAACGGCGCGTACCAGGAGCATGCCCAGGGTCTCACAGGTCACTTGCTGGAGGTGCATATTTAGGATGGGTTTAATTAGGGCTGAAATGTGGCCACGGGCATGCCTCTCCAGAAGAAGAGTGGAGATGATTATTAAAACCATGCTGGATGTCCCATCAGTGGCCCAGCGACCCCCACGCTGCTCAAACCCCTTTCATTGCTGCTGGTGTTGGTTGGCCACGTGTAACCCGCAGCCAGAGGGGCGTGGGGGTGGCCCCACCGCGGGCATGGAGCCGGCTGGGCTGTGGTGGTGCCGTGCTGGGTCCTGCGGGCACCGCGGGCCCTGCAGCACCCGAGCCCCTGTGGACATCACCACTGTGTGCAGGTGCTTGATTGTCCCTGGCAGGCTTGGTCTGGGAATGTCTCTGAAGGTTAGAAGGGATTTGTGGCAGTTACGGTGGGCTCCCGAGGGTCCCTGGCTGGTGGGGAACGGCCCCGGTATCGTACAATCCTTTAAACACACCCACCCTGGGGGGCAACGCACTGTAATTAAACAAAAAGATTGTTTGCGAATCATGTGGGGATTTGCTTTAATTAATTGTTGCTTTGCCAGATGCGTGCCGGGTCACAGAGGCTGCAGGAGCCGAGTTTATGTTTTAATTAGCCCGTTGGCTTCCCGCGCTGGAGGGGGACGGGCAGCTCCTGCCGCCGGGCTGGGGGTGCTGGGCCTGGGCAGAGCTGGGGTGGCGCGGGGAGCACACGAGGTTTGTTTGCTGTGGGTGTCGGGAAGGAACCGCACGGCACGAGCAGCCCCAGGCTGAGCACGGGGCAGCCCCCCCGAGGTGACGGCCGGGTCCCCGGCTCCGCTCAGCGCCCTCCGGACCTGGGGGCAGGGGCTCTGTAGCTGCCGTCCTGCAGCAGCAGCGGGAACGTGGTTTGCTCTGCAGCGTTGTGCAGAACTGCACAGATCTCAGTCAGAGCTCCACTCCTGTAGCATGACGGATGTTAAATCCATGCTGAATCACTGTGATAAAATACAAAATAAAAATAAAAATATGTGATGCGTCTGTCAGGGAAGAAGAGACCCCCCCTACTCGCGCCTCCCAAGAGGCTGGTGCTCTCCTGGCTGCTTGAAGGACATCGACACAGAGCGGCCAAACCGCCTGGGGCAGCTGTATTAAACCTGGCCTGGGAAGGAGCGGCTCTAATTATGTGTTTGTTTCTTTTTCCAGCTAGGCTGAATCCCAAGCCTGCCATCTCTTTTCAGGGACCACAGCTAGCCTGGGAGAAAACACCATTTGAGAGGAAAAATCCTTGTAGATCACTCTGCAAAACCATACCTTTTTTTTTAAAAAAAAAAAAAAGAAAAAGTTGTGAAAATTTTCAGTCCTTTAAAAAGAGGGTTAAATAAGGAAAATTCCAAAGACTTACAGTGTAGAACGAAGTGGTGGTTGGGAGGGCTTTTATTTCCTGTTAGCTTTGCTGATGATCATAGGTTACTTTTATGGAGTAATATGGCATACTTTGTCTAGTCTTCCCTATTTACAGGAACATTTTGGAGTGAAACGTTGTCAACATCTTGAAACGCTGCCATGTTCTAGCATTTTTTGTTTTAACACCATTCAATGTGAAAAAATTAATATTTTGACTCAACGTACTGAATAGCAAATACGAATGCTAGAAATTCACAGCTCTTTTCAAAATATGTCACAATCTCCCATGGAACAGAAATACCGAGTTTTTGACCAGCTCTGATTTTAATCATCAGATGTAACAGGTCTCTGAGGCGGGGCTGCCACGGGCCTGCAGCAGGCTGCCGGGATTTTCCCCACGCCGTCCTGCAGGTCCCCAGGGAACAGCAGCAGCGAGGGCAGGGCCAAAGGGCGCAGTGGCAGCGAGGGCAGGGCTGAAGGGAGCAGTGGCAGTGAGGGCAGGGCTGCAGCCCCACCTTGGCTGCACCTGAGCAAGGAGCAGCAGAGCCGCAAGGGCCCTGTCCAGCCCTGGGTGGCCTCAGGGAAAGCACCAGGGAGCAGCAGGGAGGAGAGCTTCCTGCTGGACCTCGCCCTCGCCCTCCCTCTGGTTTCCTTATCTGTCAGCTCCAATTAAAATTCAGAGCGCCGGGCGCTTTCCTGCCTTCAGCGCACGGGAGGAATCTGAGCAGCATTCCAGGAGGAGAAAGAGTCATCAATTACTGAGCAGACATGTGTCCGGGGTCAGGGAGATAACTTAGCCGAGCAGATATGGCACTGTTTGCAAAGCTATTTGTGCAGAGCATCTGTTTCTCCAGAGCGGCAAACTGCGGGGGAAAGAACATTTCTAAATAAAAAGGTTATTAAACATAAACAAAGGCTCTGCTAGGAATGGCCAAAAGTTCAAATAAAACAGGAACTTTTATGGACTCCTTTTCTCAGCCTCTGAGAACCAGCTTGGATTTCTTCTAGACTAAACCCAGCTTTGTCTGCCTGTGAAACCTCAGGGGTCACCGTGTGTGCACAGCTCAGCTCCGTGCTCCGGGTGCCTCCCACCCAGCACCATCCATGAGGTGCACGCAGGGGCATTGCCTGCAGCTCCCAGCCTGGGGCCCTGCCGAGCCCTCAGCAGAGCAGAAACCAAGGGGTCGTGGCAGGGAGGGAACTGACTCCGAAGTGTGGTTTTGGACTGCGGGAACCACAAGCGTACAGCCCAAACGGCATTTCTTACATCACGGCCAGGATGGGCACCTGCAAGTGTGGTTGCCAGCCATGCGGAGAGCACAGCCTTCGGTGGTTGTTTAAGTAACAGAAAAGATCTGCTATAAAATAAGTAATAAAAAGCCCCATACGGATGTAAGCAAATTCCTTCACCTGGATTGCAGGGAGATCAAAGAGCAGCAGAGGACAAAGGCCCTGCGTCCTGCCGGGCTGCTTCACCCCGCTGCTGGGCTCGCCCCGTGGCTTCACCTTCCAGGAGGGAGCTGCCTCTCCTCAGCCAGCTGCCTGTTTTTCCACCGGCTGTAATCACAGGTCAGGCTGACTTCAGGCGCGTCGCACACAGCAGTTTCCGGCATTAATAATGCATTGCCAGGGCTGGTAGGCGCAGCAGACGAACGCTGCAGGTCCTGGAGGTGCTGAGGGTGATGTGAGCAGGGATGCAGAAAGGCTCCTCACACACACGAGATAATGCCTGTTTGCCTCGCCAGCTAAACACCGTGTTTGTCTCTGAAACTGACTTCATTAATCAGGTTCAGAAACCCCGTGGTGCTGCTGTCCTGACCGGGCTGGCTGTGCTGGATGTCAGCTCTTCCGTGTAAGCCAGGAGAAAATATCTGTAAGGCGGCTGTGCTCGGGCCGCAGCACTCACGGAGGCCTCCACACGCGGTGCAAAGCTGCTTCCTGCCCCTCACAGCCCGGCCTCGCCTGGCAGCTCGAGTGCTCCGGGTGCTGCAGGGAGGATGGGGTTTCTCTTGCTCTCCAAGAGGGAGACTCGTGGGAGAGCTGCACCGCAGCCCGTGCAGCCGGCCGGGCCCTCCAGCCCTCTCCAGAGCTGGCAGCGGAGGCACCTGATGGCCAAGCACGGTTTCCAGAGAAAAAAATTCAAAGAATTTGGCTACACGTGGCCTGAAGGACAGCCAAGGATGACTTGAATGAGTTCTAACGCTGCTTGCGTGCCCTCAGAGTGGCTTTCCAAGTTCTCCTCCTCCTCCGAGTCGCTGCCCCGCTGAGGGGCTGGGAGCTGGGAGCGCTGCGCCCTGCTCGAGCCCCCGGTGCGTGGTGCTGCGGCTTTCCTCGGTGCAGCCCCCACCAGTGGAGCCCGTCTGGGTTCGCAGCACTTCTCTTGTGCAACAGAACAAACACTGAATGTTGAAGTGGCCCTCTGCAAGAGGTTCAGCTCTCTCACAGCCCTTCTCATTTCTACATCTCTGTGTTGTGCAAGGACAGATAATTCTGCTTGTCCCCGTTTTCCGAAGGGACAAGGGGCAAGTGACATCCCTTGTGCCATGTCAAAGCAGGTCACAGCCGGAGGAGAGCGCCGGTCTGCCCTTCAGCTGCCTCCTGCCCTCCCTGCAGCTACCCTGCCTCCACGTTTCTATCAGAAAAGCCCTGCATGGCCAACCACACTGGAATTAGTTCTCCTTTTAGAGGAACCATTCTAAAAAATTCATGAATCGAGATTGGAAGGCTTATTTTTCAGAAGAAGCCTTCCCTGCAGGAGGCGCAGACCCTGATGAAATAAACCTCGATCCCCTCAGCATCCTGCAGCCGGCAAACTGCACAAATAACAAATAAAAAAAACCCACCCAGGCCCGGGGTGAGCAGCCCCAGCACCGTGCCGGCCCGCAGTGCAGCGCTCCCCATGCTCAGCATGAAAAGGACTGGCAGGCTTTTACCCCACAATCAATAGCTGACTCGCAACTGTAATGCATGCACAGAAGTCTATCAAGTTTCTTCCTTTATGTAATGCTCAGCATTTTCTCCTGCACCTTGGTATCTAGAAAAACTATTAGATACCTAATGCACCTCGCTCCAGCAAGCAGCAATGCACCGGGGAATTCACGGAGGAACTCTGACATCATTATCTTGGTAATCGCTGCCGTGCTTCTTTGCTGTTCTGCAAAAACTAGGGCAGATAAGAGGCAGCCTTTCTAAGTTTTGGCTGGCTTTTCTGAGGTTATAGCCCTTTTACAACACGCTGCCAATGGAGAATGTTTGACTTAAACACAACTTTTCCAGATTGCCCTAGAAAATATCATGGGTTCCTAATCTTGTTTCTCTTTTGTTTTGAGTCTTAAAATGCTTTTTTCTGATAAAGGATGCTATCATAAGAAGAAAAAAACAATAAATCCTCCAGAAATCATCTTGCCTAAGGGGTGAAGAAAAGCATGTAGTGGTTTGTTTTCTCAGGAAAATCAGTCTTTGTTCAGAGAATGAATCAAACATGCAGAGACTTTGGCTTGGATGAGTTAATGGCGCATTTAGCAATAGTTTTATAACATGCATGGTTTCTAATGAGCTGCATTGCAAGAGGTGTCCAAAACTGTGATTTGCCAAAGTAGAACTGTACTTGGTGAGGAAGGGTCTGCTTCGACACTGGTGCTGCCTACAGCCAGAAACTCGCTCACTGGTCACCAGAGCTTGCACATGACTTCAGATCGTGTATGCAGTGCGTAGCACTGGCTGCTCTGGAAAAACGCCTGCGTTTCCCTCAGAGGTGCTTCCCCCCTGTTTGCCAGTTGCTGTACGGGCTGGCGTGGAGGGGCTCGGGGGGCTCCGTGAGGCCACGTGAGCTCTATGCCCAACTGGAAATCATCCCTTCTGCCCTCCTCTGCTGAAAACAGTCCTACTGTGAATGTAATACTTTTTCCACAGCTCTCGTAAATACAATAATAGGTTGCACATCCAAACCAGCTGCTCATTTATTTTTTTCAACTGCCTCTGAAAAATGCTTGTAATTAGGAAAAATCTATAACAAGAAGCACAAACAAATCGAAGTCTGTCATTAGCCAGAATGAGTCTGCTCTCTGCCTTAGCTATGGTTTTATTAAATTAGAATAATGAAGCAGAAGCTATACAAAGAAAAGCAAGCACTTTGGAACGGTCTGAAAATATCTAGCCATCAGTTTGGAAAACACACTTTCAAAATTAAACCTGAAGTCGCAAGCGTTTTAGCTCGTGCTGTTCTAAAACCTCCTTCCGTCAGGCCACGGCAACCATGAAGCCCATACGAAGAAACACCACGTGAGAGGCAAACAGAAGCACGTCTTTTGGCACGGTCTGGGTTTAAACCAGGGATGTGGAAGCTGCAGGGGAGGAAGGTGAGAGCGGCCTCCCCGGACAGAGAGGGGCGAGCAGCCCCGGGAGCCTCGGTGCGTGAGGGGCGCCGTGCCCCGCTTCCCTGCCGCGGTTTCTGTGTTTTTCGCTGTTCCAACGATCGCTTTCTCACATCCGTTTCTTTTAATAACTCCCAGATGGTATTTTCTCACTTTCAAGACCAAAACAAAAATGACCTTGCTGTTATGAGCTCCCCGAGCTGGCTGTGCCCCCGGCCAACCACTCCTTTCCCTGTCCCGCCACGTTTAGCTGCCGGTTTTCGCGCCCTGCTTTTTGGCTGCGGGGCCGGGGCTCTGCGGAGAAATCCTGGGCTGGATGAATGCGCTGAAAAATGTTCCTGCTGGAAAACCACATTTGGTACAGGAGCACCTGGCAGACAGCACCTGGGACAGCCGTGCTCGCGGGAGGAAGCTCCCACAAGGAGCGGCTGCTTTTGCTGCAGCCCCAGCCACAAGAAAAACCCCAAACCAGGATAATTGAATATTCATCTTCTATGAACTCTATTAATTCGAGGCCTCATGTTCTGAAGAGCAAAATAGCTGCCATAATTTCATCTCAAAATCTAAAGCAAATAACCACGAGCCTGTCATTTTTTTCTGTGCTCTATTTTCACTGAAAGGAAGTTTGTCTGCCTGCCTGGTTTCATTACGAAATGATCGGTGCAACCGCTAGAAGAACTTTTATTTATTTTTACATTTCTGACAAAAGCCTATTAACCCTAAGTGCCACAGCGAACACTGCCAGCGACTTCTTTGTCCCGATTTTAAACATCCTTTTAAAACCCAGCATTAATTTAAACAAGATAATATAAATTAAATTGCGTGCTTTGGTGCACTTTAGTATTTGCCTCTTCAAAGGCTCTGCCATTTTTTAAACAATCCCCAAGGATCTGCACTTTAATATTAATCACTGCTTAAAAAAAAAAAAAAATCATTAAAAAAATCATTTTTTATGCACTGAAGGAGAGCACACCAGTGAAATTAAGCCCAAACAGGTACATTTGGGAAATGGCACGCAGGATGCCCGCAGTAGTGGGGCAGGTCGGCAGGGGCTCAGGAAAACAAGGGGGGCACCGAGGGCCGAGGGCCTGGCAGCGGCTGGGGGGGCCCCACCTCGGCAGCCCCGCGGTGCTCGGGTGCTGGGGCAGCCGCTGGAGCCAGGAAATCTGGACATCCAGCTTTTTTCTCCCCACCTTCTCAGCAAGTTTTACTATAGTGAATATTGAAGAAAACTCGTCAAAGAAAAGTGGCCAGGTTTCAAATCCTTTTGGGGGCCTTCTGGGGATCTGCATCACCTGAACACGAATCCCTTTGGCTTCAGCCCTGAAGATGCTGCTCGTGCAAGACCCGGAGGGATGCAGGGAACACAGCCGCCCATTTTCTGCTGTGCTGCCAGGGCTGGAGGCCTGCAGCCGGAGGGGCTGCGAGTGCTGCCGTGCCCAACCCCACCAGCGTGCAGCCCTGCAGCCCCGGGACGCCCCCAGGCCCGCAGCACCGTGCTTACCAGTCACTGGTTGCCACATCAGGCCTTTGCGTCTTGTATTTGGCCAAGGACTGAGGTTTAACCTGTCTCAGCCTCCAGAAACACCAGCGTCTTCGTGCTGTGCTTCCTGCTGAGCACAGTGCAGCAGGTGCTGCGGCACCGGCCTGCACCGGGTATCCCACCCGGTGGCCATCCTCACACAGGCGCTGCACGATCAGCTTCTGCCACAGCGCAGCGTAAATTTCCCTGACAGATCCTTCAATGTGCTAGCAAGCAGGAGCTGCTGCGTTACTGAGCAAATACATTCACAGCTCTGATTCCTGGCTCCATCCAGCTGAGCACACCGGTGCGCTCCGGCTCGTCAGCACGCGCCGGCCGCCCAGCCACGCCGACAGCCGAGCTGTGCGGGGGGAACCCATTAAATGCTGGGCCTGAAAGAGCTGACCCAGATAACTCACACAGCAAGCTAGCCACCCCAGCACAGACGTGTCACCTCGCCTTTTGAGAGGCTGCAGAGCGATGGGTTTCCTCCCGCCCTGCCCTTCGGGTTGCCTCCCCAGGTCTGCCTGCAGAGCAGAGCGGCGAGCACACGGGGGAACGCTCCTGACCCCGTCCTGCTGCGTGGTGTCTTGGTGGCAGGGAACAGTGACACTGGCAAGTGTTTTGGGCTGCCAACCCCAGTCTCTGTGCTCATGATCTGGGGCAGAATAACATCGCTGGGAGGTCCTGCTCACACAGTGCCAGGCTGTGCTCCTGGCGAGGGGACGGGCGCACGGCACTCACCGCCGGTCCAGCCCAGGGAGGGCAGGGGGGGCACGGCGATTGCTGGGACAGGCTGCCAGCCACATGTTCAGCAGGCTTTTCTAGAGCTGTGGCCAGTAATTAGACCAGTCAGTTTACATAGAATTAGCCCTGTTCAGTTAACCACAAAATTATGACTTCGGAGATTCAATCTCATTATTTGGCCAGTCAGCTTGGCAAGGTGATCGCTATTCTCTCCTTACACTACAAAAGCACTGAGCCTTTGCCCTGGCTGCTATTTTCTCTGCTGCAACCAGGAGCAGGGGGACTTGGCACGGATCCTGCAGCAGGTTCTTTAGCCAAACACACGAAGCCTCATTAGCACCTGTAGCAGGCAGGTATTTGTTTCCATTAGGGCAGCTGGGGGTGCCAGGAACAGCACAACCACGCTGGGAGACGGCGTCCTGCTTGGCTGCCCAGAGAGCTCCTCTTGTCGCCTGGCACCTACTTGACTCCGTCTGCTGAAAGCACCGAGCAAGGCCAGCCCCAGGGCTCGGGACACCCGGTGTATTGGGGACAGGGCTGGGACAGGGCCGCCGTGGAAGGGGCAGAAGGCCTCCCCGGTGCTGGAAGGGGCTGCAGAAGGCCCGCTGTGCAGGGCCCTGACCCTGAGCCCCAGCACAGTTGGGCTGTAGGAAAATGGCATCAGTTTTCCTCCCCCATATACTGGTGAAAGGGCTCAGGTGTGGGGCAGCGCCGTGTGCTGAAGCCGTGCTGCCCCCCTGGTTTAACCCCACACGTGTGCAGTGCCCC